ACCCAGCTAACCAGTCTGTCCTGCCTGTACCCCGAGGTTGGCAATGTCGTGGCCACCCCTCCCTCCCTAGCCCAGCCAAAGACTGCTCATTTCTCTCTGGTCCACCCTTTCCATCTTCTGCCTGTCTCTCCTCCATTTACTCATTCACTCCCTCCCCCATTCATCCTGTCATCAGTAAACACTATCAATTATGTGCCAAGGATGCAGCTACGGGTTCCCAGAGGAAGCACTGAGTCAGAAACCATGTGCCCATATGGGATGTGAGACCCAGTTTCTACTCTGAGGAGATGTCTGGTGGGAGAGGCAGCTACAGTCCATAGGATGAAGTGTGTGATCGGGTAAAAGCAGGCTGCTGGGCCAGCACGGCGCTCCCTGAGGTGGGGGTCGGGGAGGGAGGACTCCAGGAGGAAGTCTAAGCCAGTGAGTAGGAACCATCAGACAGGGAGGAGGGCATCCCGGCAGGTATGTGGAGTGTCTTTGAGTCTCTGTCATCTCTCTTTCTGTTCAGTGACCAAATCCTGCATAGTTTGGAAACTTTGTCCCCTCCTCTCCGCCCAGCAGCCCCATGTGAGGCTGCAGCTGCAAGGCTCCTGGTTCAGTCTCCCTGCTTTCCAGTGGGAGGGCACAGCACCCTGCCTCCTGCATTTGGGACTCCCATTTCTTCTTGACCAAATCTGAACCCCTCTGCCTTGTGAGGAAGGTCCCGGGTGACCACAGGCTCCACTCCTGCTCTGGACACATCTGCCTCGGCTGCCCTCCACTCTGCTTCCCTAACCAGCCAGCCTCTCCACCTACCTGGTCCCTCCTCACAACTGGCCTGCAGCACTGCACTGCCCGGAGTCAGAAATCATCCCAAGGGGCCCGCATCTGTCTCCACATGGACTGACCATGTTTCTCAAGGGCAGGAAGTGGCTCCTCCTTTGCAGATAAGGCCATAGGACAGGTCCTCCAAGGGCTTCACTGGTCCTTTCGAGGCACTAACCAGCCTTCTGTTGCTGGTCCCAAGCCCTGGTCCTCTGACCCTGGCTCACTGTGCTGATCCTGTCACTGTGTCTGCTCTGACCTCATCTCTCTAAGCCTCTGACCTTCAGCCTTTCTGCCTTCAGTCACTTGCTTGTTCCTGGCCGGGAGCCTTGCTGGCGCCTTCCTCCCACATAGAACACCTTCCCCTCTCTGGGAATCCAGGTCCCTCATCTTCAAGCCACGAAAAGAATGTTCTGAAGGGCCTCCCCGGATGGACCCCTCCCACTCAACCAGTGCTCCCCACCCTTGCCATGGCCCCTCACAGTGCCTTTCCCTGGGGGGTGAGTAGGCTTGTCTAGGGCTTCCCTGCTTTTCTGCACACAGAACCCTGAGCCCCCTGAGGGCAGAGGCCGGGTCCCCCCTCAGCTGTCCACCCTGCCGATGCTCAGGACACAATCCTGGGCCGGGGAGGGTGTGACCCCCCCTTCCAGGGGGGTCGCTTCCTCCCTGGGTCTCAGGTTCCTCTCTGAAATGGAGGTGACACGCCGACCTCTGGGCGGCTCTGAGAGTAACGAGGTGATGGCCCCAGGTGCTCTGCCAGCATCATGGTCCGAGTTCCCTTTGCTGTTATCATGGGAGCGTGTCCCCCCTCCAGCAGCGCCCCTCTGTCTGTCCCTCGCC